CTTCCAAACTAAATGATTCTATGATTTTAAGTCTATTAACACCATCTATAACATAGAACAATGTTTTTATAGATGCTCATGCTTATTCTGCACCAAGTAAATAAAATGGGGTTTTAGCCACCATTTTTACATACATTAATAATCACTCCTTTGTCCAGAAGACTCTGCTTTTTTGCTGTCATCACAAAATAATGAGTGCTATCTTTGTAGTAAACAATATTCTCCAGGTCAATTCCTGAAAAGAAATAATACATTTGTTAGGCAGTACAGTGCCATTGAGTAACATGTGATTGATCCCCCCATGTGGGCTTCCTTCTTGGGATACATTAACATTCCAGCTGAGAAGAAGCATTAGTGTACAAGATGCTCTACAACAAAACAAGACATGAGAGGAAAAAAGCCTTATCTCAACAAGGGTCTCTCTCAGAATAATGTAAAGTTATTGAGCATCCTGTTAAGGAACAGACAGTTAACAACAGCCTTAATCTTTGGAGGCTGAAAAGAGAAACCAAGGGAACAAAGTGCTTTTTCAGTTGTTAGGTCACTGGCACTGGGTCTAACCAGGAGTTTTGGTTTCTATTATAACAACACTAATAATTTAAAAAATAAAGTCAGCTGTAAATCGAGAATGGAATTGCTTGTACTGACTGTGGATACAACTATTCTGAAACCTCTTTTTCATACAGATGTATTTCACAGTTTATATTTTAAATATTTATGGCAGATTATCTAGTTCTCTTCAGTTTATCAGAGCTACACATCAAAAAGCAAGAAAAAAAACTCCCCCCAGAAGGGCAGAGCCTTTTCAACAGTGTTTAAGCTGTTCAGTATGTGAACAGATACAAACAAAACAAACCATGTCTTAAGGGAGATCTCTGGGCACTGAAAAAGCTCTTCTAAATTTGTTCAACATAGCAGACATTTTTACAGATGAAAAAAATTTAAACATTAAAACAAACTATGATGTGGCAACGCCCAAGCTAAACAAAAAAACTCAAACATCATCCCACTGTACCAGAAATTAACACCTCCATCTGCAAGATTTTGACATCAATGACATTTTATCACTTTTTTTTAGTACAGTATCTTTAAATTGATGTTAATAGCAATAGGAGGGTCACCTAGCAGATAAAGAGTTCTTCTACTGACTCGTCTATTTGGTTGTGGAAAAAATGAGGATGCACCCACCCATTTCCTCTTTAAGGTCCTGGAAGAACTTCTGATTGAAGATAAAAGCAACACCACTAATTTCTTCTACCTTGGCTTCTGCAGTTGTATTTCTGTTTATAAAATTGGCAGTGATAGCTATAGCCAGCTTTCCACGAAACTCCTTCCTCCTGAAACCTGGTAAGCAAATAAGATAATTGAAACACTGGAAACTTCACATTGTGCTGTCAGGAAGGGTCAGCCCAAGGCAGCTGGTCTCTTTCCTGTAGTCCTACACTTCATCAGACAATGTAACATCAACAGATTCTGTCATTCCTCCAAAGTTCCCTTGAATGCAAAGAGTCTTTTCTCCCCACTCCCAGCTGCAAAACTGGACCTGTACTGCACTCAAGATAAAGTCCCACAATAAAAAAAAAAGTCTAGAAGGAAACTATGGGAAAAAGCACAACATTAGAAGAAGATAAATGATGACCATATTAAAACAGACTGGAAATAGAGCAGATGAAATTTAATGGAGGAAAACATTTTTAACAAAAATCTTATTTGATAGTTAGCATGTTATGTAGGTGATAGCTTATGAAAAAACATGTGAGAGACTAGCAGTCAAAAGCAGCAAAGAGATCCCAAAAATAAAAACCTGTATAACAGTGCTTAAGTGTACACACAACAGCTAATGATTTTTTTCAAAGATACTAGGGGTTGAAAAAATTCAGTAGCTTAACTGTTAGATTGCCAGGGTGAGACTGACTGCAAAGTTACTTGCTCTCTTGCTCTATCCTAGATTCCTCTTGTCAAAAAACACCCCCCACTAGGCCACAATCTTGCAATCACACATGTAAGTTTTTCTCTCTGTGTATTCCTCTTAACTGCAAGTAAATTCTGAAGTAGAACAGCGGGTCCTTAGACTAATTTTAGCCAATAGCAGATGACTTTTCAGAGAACACATTTATTTTTTAAGAAGCAATAAATCAGCTATGAATTTTTGTCCCCCTGCTTCTTGACAGCTCTTGTTATTTCATTGGGATAAATTTAATGATACTACCAGCTTCTGTATGTAAACAATGTTCAGTGCACCAAACATTCCCCTAGATCTCTATACAATGATAATCACTAACTTTTCAGTAAGAGTCTGTAGCTGAGTTAAGAATTACTTTGTTTTGCTGGGACCTGACTACCTAAGTCTTTTATGGGAGACAGCTGGACAATAGCATGGGGAAATTTCTAACAAGAGCATTATAAGGAACAAACTCTAAGCATACTGTGGTTCACACATCCAAGAATGAGCAGATAAACTATGAAGCTAAAAATAAAAAAAGGAAATAATATACTTATGGAACTGAAACTAACATGGATATAATTGAGGCTAAAAGGGAATATATATAAAGTAACAGGTTTGTTTGTGTGATACAGGAGCAGCTTTGCTAGTGTCTCACCAAAAGACAGCTCACGTGGTCTGAATTCTCAGCAGTGGCGCAAGTTCATGAAGAATTTCCTATCACCACCTTAGAGTTAGTTATTATATTATGATATTCAAAGTAACTGCTTCTGAAGTTTAATTACGTGTGTAAGAGTGATACTTCTAACCCCTTCATTAAATATCTCGCAATCACATTTTGGTCATTAATCCAAACATACAGTGGAAATTCACAGCACAATAGTAAAGACTGCAATTCTTGACATATATCTTGTCAACCTCCTTAAAATTATCATATAATTGCTTAACCTTGAAGTAAGCCAAATAGCATCATGATGCATTTTGTAGGCAATGTAGAGACACAGTGCTGAAACCAGTAACAACATTAAAAGTCTTTCTTTTGAGCTACAACTTAACAACCAAACCAGGTTATACCCCATAAAAAGTAGTTTCCGTGCAGACTTCAGTGGATCGAAGGTTGCTTTATGTTCTCTTCTGACTTTCAGGCCTTCCAAAATACACTAAAGACCATTAATACGGCTAAAAGCACACATTCACCTACCTTCTAGTGTGTTCCTGCGGCCATCTGCACCAATAATAACATCAAATTCATACTCTGACAAAGGGTGATCCACAGGGAGAAATTCAGCTCTCCAACCTATCTCTAAAAACACAAAGAGTAATATTTATTCATTCTTCAGTAATACAGTGGAGAAGTGCGTTCAGAGACTGAACATTGAAAGAAATGGTCCATTTCTTATTCAGATGGAGCTGAATTCTGCCTCAGTTTGATGCAGGGAAGTTCTGCTGCAGTCAAATCTACATTCAGGCTGTATCAGCAAGGTGTCAAACTTGTAAATTTTCAATAAAATGCACAGAAGCCTTCATTTGTATCACCTAATGTACTGAACTTCATTTCAGACCCATATCACAAGAATATGCTTAAGCATTTCATTCTCACAGAAACAGCCCTGCAAACAACTTCTCAGGACAGTACATATATGTAGTAACAGCAAGGAAAGGCCGGGTTTTAAAAGAAGAAAAATAGCTTTTCTTTGTCAATACTTTCAGTTGTCTTCTAAACAGAAATTTAACATACCTGCAAAGCTAGATTTAGTCTTTGCATTAACACAAAGCTGATTATTAGAAAATGTTTGTATTGGCCATGTTAGAAAATCAAACATGCTTTAACCACCTTATATTTTTATTCTACTGTCATTAGATGACCACTTAGAGACAGTATAGCATTTTTATTAAAGTAAAATTTTATAATATTCTCTTGCTACTACACCCTAAATATGAATCTTAAAAAAAATAAAAAGAAGAAAGGAATGAAAAATATTTCTCCATTTTATTAAAAAAATCTTATGTAAGATGGCTGATCAGATGTTGTGTGCTAGTGGGAGTTATATCAAATGTGAGAGAAAGACAAGGCCAAGGAGCTTAATCCATCCTCAATATTTATATTATCAATCAAAAATTGTTTTTGCAAGAAGATACCAAAAAGCCCCACCAGACTTCCTACAAAGCTTCCAACACATGCCAGAAGGCATAGTGCAAAACCTCACCTTCACAGACTGGGTTGTATTTTAAGAATTATCAGCACTCTGTCACAATGATACTTATGTATATGAATGCTCATGGCAAAACCCTCCCTTTTCTTTAAACAGAATTCAACTACCTTTAATGATTTCACATAATGCCCAACATAATCAGAAGATACTGTGAACAGAACTATCATGATAAAAAATACTTTGGTTTTCTTGATCTTCAGGAGGTTCCAGGACTTTCACAAATTCTAGATTCACATGGATTTCAACTCCTAGTAGAAGTGCTACTTTGAAGAGGATAAGCTGAAGCTGTCGAATACCTGTAGGCAGTAACAAAGATGTGTTTAATACATAAGCAACCACAGCTGCCACCAGCAAGCACCCAACTGATACTCATTGTTAACGCAAGCACGCACCAGCATTATTTCCCATACTGTGACAAATGCACATGTAGCAACCACCACAGGCTGTTGTTCTCTTCATCTTATTTTTCTCTTGCAGCCTAAACTCTTAGGTAATAAAACTCATTTCAGTGAGTTTCTTAGAATACTTTTTTATCTCTTTCCTTCTTAATGATATTTAAAGGATCTGCTAACTACTATGTTGACCATTTTAGGACAGAAAACTTTACAGTGTATTTCCCTGTAAAATATCCCACTTTTGCATGTTTTCTCATTAGATCAAGGGCTGTGTCTACCTTCAGTGTACTTGAATGAATATAAATATTCTTCATACTTCAAAATCAAAACCTGTTGTTTAATAAATCCAGGCTATCACAAAAGCTGCTCCATAAGACTGTTACTTGTTCAATTGCCATTTTACTTAAATTGGACCTTCTATTTCTTCCCCCCTCTGTGAGTGGGCAGGCACACACTCACATATTTAAGGCAGATTAGCCTTCTGTCAAATCAAGAAAGCCTCCATTAAACTTCTGAGCTCAGTACACCACTTATCTAAACGATGCCTATGCTCAGATACTTACTGATGTGATCAATAGATCCTGCGCAGAATTTTCCATAAAATTTCTTTGCTCCCAGTCCCCGGAGGTCATGGATTGTAAATGGCCAAAGATGCAACACATTGTTTCTTGAAAAAGTGTCCCGCTTCTCCACAACAACTACTTTGGCTCCCAGGAAGGCAAGTTCTATGGCAGTCCGCAAGCCACATGGGCCACCTCCAATAATTAAACACTAGCAGAGAGAAGAAGTCTTACACAGTTTTGTACTGACTTTCACACAGTTTCAAACTTACTCTATTGATATGGCTGGATATTCGACCCAACTTATGCTACTGAGAGTGTGTTCAAGTCATTTATTTAAATCAATAACCATTAAAATTTTCTTCACATATTTTGTTCAGTCAATTTCTACAAGAGGATAAATTGTGCTTTACACAAACAAAAAATCATTTGATGAAAAGATGTTACAGAAGAAACAGCAAAAAAATTGAACACTTCTGAGCATCTGTTTGTACATTTCTATCTCACTCACCTTTAGTGTTTCAGTGCTTGAACAGGATAACAGCTACATAAAAGGGAGGGGAAAAGAAATAAACTGGTCTTGGCGGAGGCTTCTTTGTTTTAAAGAGGAAATTGGTGTACATTTGCTACACATTAGACAAAACTTTGATAAGCCAGTACTCTAATAGTATTAGTTACTCTCCATTTCAAGTGAGGTGTATCCTGAATATAATGGCCTAGTTCACCTACTGCTGTAAAGCAGGGCATGTCAAGGGAGGTCGGCAGACTTGTCCTGTGTCAGAGCCAGGGAACTTGGTCTGTCTTACACCACTTCATCCAGTGGTCAACATCCTCATCTGCAGGACTACTGCACTTCAGGAGTTTAACTCAAAGCTTGAGCATACTCAGGAGAATCACTTCAAAAATTATTACAGAGAATTTTCTCCTAACTTTAGTAGACAGCTATAAGTTTCCACAAACTAACAAGCAAAGAATTCCCAGAAAGCACACCAATTGGTTTTATTAATTAGTTTTATCCTAACATATCTAATACTTACACTTTCCTGACTGATGACTAAAAACTGATTAGACATGGCTTATAGCTAGATAATGGTGCTGTCCCATACACCCCTTCAAACCACATCCCATTTCCCACAGGCCCCCCCAAACCCACACAGACTTCACAAAACCTGTGCCATCGGTGCAGGCATTGAGCTCTGGCAGAGAGGGACAAGATGAGCTGGAGCAGAGGGGAGAGCTCTGGCTGCAAGGCCAGAATCCAAACCACTATCTCACATGCCAGACATACTCCTGTGTGCAGGAGCACACATAGTCAGACAGTGATCACAGTTTCAGAGCAAGCATGGACTGCATCTGGAGGCTAGCTGGATATGAGTCTGCTTCCCATTACATTTCAATTTGATAAAGCAGAGTCATTTATTTTGGTTTGTCCATCATTTGTTCTCAAATTTAACTACTTACACAAAAATTATCTGCTGTCGAGTTTTGTCCAGCCCAATTGTAAAAGTGTAAGTTTTTTTTTTCTAAAAATTGAATACATAATTAAAATAAATTCCCACTGAAAGAAGAGCTCCCGTAAAGGTTTTTGTTTTGCTTTAGGCAAGTGGTGTAAGTAGAGATATTAAGCTAAAGGTAGGTTGTTGCATTAGCAACTTTGCTTTTTTCCTGCTAGAACAAGAAATTTAATTCATAATTTCACAAGAACACTCCTCTCTGCATGCTAAACATTAAGAAAACATCAACAGATGTAACTATATAAAGGAAGAAAATGGAGCGCAGATGTTATCCTGACGGAAGAGGATCACTGGTGGAGTCTGGGTCAGCTCTTCTTCACTCATGCTTATTGTGATTAACATGGGAAATCAGCTCTGGCAAGTAAGTGGAGTTCCCTTCACAGCAACACAGTTTTCCACTAACATTTAGCAAGAAGTCAGAAACATTTTACTAATAAAGGCCATACATGGTTTGATAAAGTGGGGTTGTTCTTTCGGCTAGCCCACTGTATTATATATAAACAAATGCAACTTTTTAAAAAGCAGTCTTTTGAGATTTAGTCATAGTGGTTCCTGCCACATAATAAAACCCACACAGAAAACGCTGTTTGTTTCTCCTGATGCTCTGCAATACACTGTGTTAAATTTTTAAGGAGGATTCTGCCCTCTCCCCTCCTATCACCACTGACAAAATATCTTCCTAATTGCTTAGAGACAGTGTGAAAAAATGGTTGTATATTTGCTATCATCCATGGTTACCTTCCATAAACACATTCATCTATGTCTCAGAACAATTTGTTCTTTGATTTAAACCACTTCCTGCTGGTGTGGATCTTACTCTTGGCACTTTGTCATCTTTTTTGAAACTTATGGGGCCAAAACCAGCACAAAACTGTGGCAATGGTAATTCATACTGTGTTTATGCTTCTATCTTTATTAAGTAAGGAAAGGGACTGCCCCTAAAGAAAGACACTGTCCTGTCCCTACCCTCCCTCCCCAGCTCCCTGCTTGCAAGCAAAGTCACAGGAAAAACTTTCTTGTAGTCAGCCTAGAACAAACCTTGAATGGCTTCCTGTTTTCACCTCCTGTTACCCCAGTCTCCTAGCTCATCAGGGGCTGCTTTTGAAATTAATTTCTTGTAATTTAACACAGATCATGACAACTGACATCACATAAGGAAGTCCTGAATAATCAGTCCTGAAATCTAACAGACAGGGTTGGACAAAAGCCAATGGTTTCTTAACATCCACACCACCATTCGCAGCTCAACTGTATTTTAGTGGTGCCAGATGTTCTCCTAAAAAGGTAAAGGGTAACTTGACCTTTCAAAGCACCATCTGCAAATTAATCAAAGTAACAGTTGCTAAGAGGACTAACAAGGAGCTTTCGCGTATTTTTTGTTCAGGCTAGAAATGAAGGGAGAAAGACTTACACAGATTACAAGAAGCTTATCCAAGAACAAGATCATAACTAGACCTCTGTGATCTGCCTGAAGAATCAGTACCACATTGGATGGTACATGTTGTTTTACTACCAAGAGTACACCATGTTAGTGCAAGATAGTAATACTGAGAGAAGGCATTTTTCTTAGTGAAAAACTCACAGTACAAAGGGCAGATCTGCCTGCAAATGTATGCAAGCACTTCCTTAGCTTTAATGAGAAACTTCCTTAGATTTCATACACTTGCCAAGAACAGCACCTATATTACAACAGGACAGCAACAAGCAAAAGTACAGAAAGAATAAATGAGGAGGTAGAAAACAACAGTTGTGCACTCATGGCAAATTAAAGCACGTGAGTTTAAAAAGCCAAGTTTCCTCCTTTATCCTTCAAGAAAATAATTTACCTTTGCACATATTTCATCCAAAAATCTTATAAATGGTTGAAATACTGGGCACACATCCTGTAGAAGATGATGTGCCAACGGTGAGAGTGGGAGCCATGACCAGGACACCGAGCAGGCTGTTCCCTGCCCTGTCCCTCTCCACAGCCCAGCACTGTGCCCACGAGTTCCCCAGCCAAGGGGAGGAAACCCAGGTGCTAGGACCATCCTGCATGCACCCCGAGGGTGGCTTGTCCCATCTGGGCTCACCTGCAGCTCCACCACTCCTTCAGCAACAGGATAACCTCAGGTTACCCACATGAATGTCCTGCACCAAACTCCTGCTGTGCAGTAACTGCCAGTGCTGAAGACACTGCCCATAAACACTAACTCCTACAAGCCAAAGTCACCACTAAGTACTTTTCATCAGAATTTTACGGGGGCTAAATTCATCTACTTTTCTTGCAAATATCCTGGATATGAATGCTAGTAATTACCAATTAGAATAAATGTGACAATGAAAACGTTACAACTTGATATAAATTATCCTAAGTAAATGGACACGCTGGTTTGCGTTAAAACTTCTGTGAGAGCATTTTTAGAAACCAGTTACAAAATTCTCATTGAAGAGGACTACTGCAAGTTTACAGGTCAGTAGTTGTTATCTATTGACAAATTTAGGATTAACTCAGTTTAAAATTATAAATATTAAGTGTAGCATAGAAATGTTTGTACTTCAAAATAGAACACTAACAAGCCTGTACATATTTATACTTAAGTTGCTGAGTAACTACCATGTTTCTACCGTACTGTTAAAATGTACCGTACAAGTACAAAAAGTAGTACAATGTACCTAAAAGATTATTATCTGTTTCTGTATAAATCCCACACCATAACCAAGCACACTACTCATTGTATTATTTATCTTTAAACTGAAACAGAGCACAAACTTCATATATTCTTTTTCCAGGTACAATTAAAAGATATCAAAAAGTTTCACTTGTAATATTAAAAAAAACTAAGTTTGATTCCCCTCAAAGGTTGATTTGATTGTACTGTTTAAGAATGGCAGTGCCTTGAAAATCTTCAGAAAATGTTTCTACAACAAGTAAGAGCACTTAATGCTGAGCTAAATGGCAGTACAAGTAACCCCTCTAAAAGCAGAATGACTTTTGCATCAGACACAAGTTTTTAACACGACCTCCTGTATAAAATGTACAAATGTGTGACTTACAAAATAAAGGGTGGGAAAGGGATAAAGGGATACAAAGCAGGGGCCTCTTGCAACCTCTCGTGTCTCCTACTCTTAAATCAGCAGCCTGTGAATCCAGGCTACTCTGTCGCACGATAGAAAAACCACAGGCAGTTTAACAGCTGAGAATTTGCAGAACGCCTCCATTGGTTTTCACTCAGTAAAGTAAGATTAGAGAAACAGCCAAGGGTTTGAGAGAAAGGAGGAAGAGCATTAATACCAGCACTATGTTCAACAAAAAGAAAATAACACTCCATTGATGACCTAGCACAAAAATGCCATCTGCTTTAATAACTGTAAGGCAGAATCTGCTCACTGATCTTGAAAAAATATAAGGTAGATCTTGGCATTTACATGTTCATAGTCAAGAAATCTACCAGTTGGTAGTAGCATGTGAGTTGGGGATGCAACCAAACAGCACCTCTTTGCATAGTCAAACAGTCAAATCCCATTGTAGCTCAAAGCATTACACTGTTATCGAATTATAAATCCCTTACTCCTCTCTTGCCCAGGGTACACAACCATTAAATTAGTCCTAGAAAATAAAAGTGTGTTCTTTCTGATCAACTCTCCATATATTCTAGGAAGGAGACAGAAGCTACAAACAGTGCAGAAACTCAATATTATCTTTTTTTCTGTCTTTCCATTGTTTTGGAGGTGAAAAAGAGAAGATTAATTTTAGAATTCAGCTCAACAGCAACTGGATAGACACAGACACACTTTGCTGTCGTAAGGCATGCCGAGTCAAAAGTGTCACTTCTACTTTTCAGTGGAAATGCACACGTATACTAGTGAAAAAAATAGTGAAACCTATCTGCCTAAATTTTTTTGCTTCTTTTATCTTTTGTGTAATATTTACCCAAACCACCACTTGGAAATCAAAACCTATAGGAATTAATCTTACTGCTAGAAGTGAACACTAAAGCGTGTCTTCCCCCATGCACCCTGAAGCCTCTGCCTGGTGCTGCAGGTGTGGGCTCTACCCACACCCAGTCCACAGGACACAGAGGGACAGAATGCTTTGCCTTTCCATGGAAAACCCTCTTCCATCGTTTGCTCTGTGCCTGAGATGTGTTCATTTCCATGGCCAACAGATCTTGGAATACACACCAGCCCCAGCCTTCAAGCAATATCCAAAGTGATAGAGATGCACCAATGATTAATTTGACCAACTGTAGACGATTACATCCTACAGAGATTTGGGCAAGCATTTATTCATGATAGAACAAAATGTGATGCAACACGAGACAGATACAACACGAAATGTAATGAAACAACACATTTTCTGGATCAGCAGCAACTGTTTCCCTGGAAAGGCTCCAAAGAGGAACAGCTGCATAAGCAGCTAAGGCAGATGGCTACCAGAAGCTGCAGCAGGAAGCTCTGTTCACCACAATGCTTTTCACTTCATCCCCTTTACTAGACATGAAAAGGCTTCTGGCAAAAATAGGACTGCTCAGCAGGACATTCCTGACTTACTGACTTGCAGTTCATCTTGCATTTGC